GATAATATGTACTTAATTAATTCCCTTGTTTAGATATGTATGTTAATTGAGCATAAATATAAATAAACATGTTCTTTAAAAATGTATAATATGCAAACAAAAAAGTCTCTATAAGTCACCCGAATTAAAATAGATAATGAAAAATATTTAAATATGCCTTTATGCAAAAACTTCTGCGAATTTATATATCTGTTAACCAAAATTAATTACTATAATCGAGCAGTATATTAATTTTTTGAGTAGTAAAATTATTTGATATGACATAAACCAGTTTATATGAATAATCATTTAAATATGCGTTTTAAATTTAAATAAGGTTTACGTTTTGAATGAAGAGAAAATCAATAAAAAAACTATCAGGATGTGATATAGCCAATTGCGTCCTTGACCAAATAGTAGATTTGAATTTTAAAACAAATTAGTAGTCAGACTGACTAATAGTTCATCATCCATACCTAAATTAATTATTTAAAATTTTAATATTATCGTTTTGTCATTTAGCTATTCGTTTATTAGTTTCGTTGAAAAATAGAAGACATAGTTATATAAAATAAATTTGGAAATATTTATATTTTCAATTTGCATATCGAACGTATCGATTGGATCACTGTCACATAATTTGAATATCGCAGATATTTTTCACAATATTCAACAAAATGTTTGATCTTGATCTTAAAATATGAGTCCTAAGAAATGAACTTCATGTCTATATTAAAATTATTAGATGAATATATACATTTATTTAATAAAATAAAATCTAAGGTAATGGTTTCTGGAATGGATATTATGAAATTGTGCATGATATTATATCAATAAACATTTTAATTAATTCAACGGTTATATACAAATTAAACATCGTTATTTAGTCGAAACAAGATGAGAAGACTATATATTTTATATAAAACCATTCTAAAACCTAGGTGGACATATGGTATTCAGTTTTGTGGTAGTGTTAGTAAAACTAATATCAACATAATACAAAAAGTTCAAAATAAATTTTTGAATTAGTCTGTCAGCGCCTAAATATATCTCAAACTGGTTCATACATCAGGACACCACTTTGCAAGAAAAAAACGGGTTGAAACCATATACAAAGAAAGACAAACGTCCCGATCCAATAAATTAGCCCAAATCCTTTTGGCTGGTATATTTCCTAAAAAACATACTAACTTACTAGAATACATCCAAATCTATTTGTTATTTTTTATGTAAAAATTAATTTTTACTCTTACTCTATTGTATTTTTCAGTAAAAGTAGGAGTAAGTTTATTTATTATATTTTCTATATTACTTTGCCAGATGTCGACTGAGAACAGATTAGAAATTGGTATTTGGAAATGAGGTTTTTCTGAAAATTTTTAGTCTACCTACTGACGTATTAATGTTAGGAATTTTTAATAATAAACAAGTGACCAAGTGACTGTATGACTAAAAATGCACTTGAGCGGAGAACTGCTTAAAATGGATTAAGGTTATAGATACAAGCTTTAACTAATATCCAATTCAATTGGCGTTTCCTCTCTAGTTCACTGAAACGTGCAATAGATTAATATTGCACCCATTATGCATTCACAATCATAAAAACACCAGGCCTTATGAACATTTCCAACTTAAAACTAGATTAGAAAATAAAAATTTTCCCCATCTATACAATAAGTTCATTTCGCGTGTGAAGGATATCTATCCTATGATAGCACTTTCTGTTATCAATATATTGATATACCATTATGATAATATTATTAAAAAAATAAACTAGTGTTATCAATATCAACATTCAATCAAAAGTCAAAGCATGTTATGACAATATTGTTTTTATGATCCAAGATAAAGGCTGGCTCAAATTACCACTCAATTTAAATTTTGATCTGTTTGATATGGCAACCCAGTCATGCTCAATCCTGGTTGAGATATATTATGACTATAGTTTATAACATTTTTTTATCTCATATTTTCATGCAGTAATGTCTCTGAATGACTCTTTTCACTTGAGATCCATTTTGAGATCTATGATTAAAATATAAACCTGATACAATGCTACTCGATCCCTTGTTGGTTGATATTGGGATTGAATCCGAAATTAGCCTATGTTCTTTACTTCCACATTAGAAGTTCCTGGCTAAATAATGCAATATTATAGCAAATATTATCATAAACTAGTAGGGTGTATGGCATCGTGCCTTAAGGCAAATTGCTGGAACTTTCCGTACCGTAACGAAATGTTCGAGGAACATTAAATGTTTTCAAATAGACTATTATAAATAAATACTGTAACATCGTCTAATATTTATAAAAATTATATAAACTGAATTGCAAAGTTGAAATTATTTGTTTAAAGTATATTAGAACTTTAGTCAGAATTAAAATTGAAATCTGAATTATTTTCGATATACAAAAAAAATCCTTTTTGAAAAAAAAAATTGAAACAATTTTTTAAATTAAAATCGGACGCTTAGTTCTCTCAAAAACTGGCATTTTTTGCACATTTATGTATCTTCGAAATGGCTGGGCCTGTCTTTTCCAAAAACTAATCATCTCTTCTCCCAATTATTACAAATTGAATGTTTTTTAGATCATTCAAATCGGATGCTCCGTTCTCTCAAAAACTCGATTTCTATTTTCTGCACTCTTTGCTCTTTATCTCCGTGTCTGCTGGACCTGCCTTTGCCAAAAACTAATTAGCACATCTCCCTATCAATAGGAATCGAATGTTTTTCTAACTATTCAAATCGGTTGATCCGTGCGCCCGAAAACGTGACTGGAAAATTGTATCCATACATACATACACACATACACATCCATTTTTTCTGAGGTATGGCAAAATGTTCAGAAATCTTCAAAACGTCGAGAAATGCAAAATTGTTCAATTTCGATTTTTGGACGATTACAATAACTTACCCTACGGGAAGTTAATAATAAGAACATTACAATCATCAGTAAATAAAAAGTTGCAATTAATTCAATACATAATATGTTTGCAGTAAATAAATATTTTATTTTTATAACATATTCCCAAGCTGAAAACATTATCCCAAGCTGAGATTTTTCTCAGATTCCTTTCAATTCATTGAAAAATTGATTTTATTCTATTTCTCACGGTTTCCAATTGTCTTTGGAATTTTGTAATTTATGAAATACCTAAAACGTGTATTATATTTTACTGACGTTTTCTTAAATTCATGACCTTGTAATAATTATATGCATCAAAGTGCACCAATAAGTTTTATTCAAAATAATATTTAAAGACCTTAGAAAACAAAAGATTTTGCTGATATAATATGTTTAAAATCAGCCAAAATAGTGTTCAGTTTTATAATTTTAACTAATTATACAACATATGAATTCATAAATACATAAAACTTTTGTTGCTACCACTATTAAATTGCATTAGTTAGTTTACTTTCTGGTTCCTTTGTAGGAATGATGGGACGAATATGGTTCTCGAAACGTACAGTTCAAAATAAGTATCATATTTAATTTCGACATGTTGGCTGTTAATTAATTCAAATAATGTATTTCATACCGAATAAAAATCTCAATTCATAAAAATATATATGTTTATAAATAAAATAAAGCAATCAAGGTATCACGTATTACAGCTATTAGATTAGAATAAATCCTTAAATCTAAGGTTACAATCATCTGTCACCTAGTCCAGAATGTAATGTTTATCATGTGCTGCGAATTTTAACTAGGTCTATTTGAAGGTTGTACGATAATCTAACTTATTAAACCGGCTACCGCTGTATTTATATCGATGAAATTATCGATACCCACATATATAAATATTTTTTTCTATTATTTACATAGGCGATGAAAAAAGAGTTATTAAAGCGAGAATGCGCTCATATCGATATCGGTTTGTTAACCTTTATGGAGAGTAAAGTAGACTAATCGTGTGAATATATTAATAGAGATTGTTTATATTGAATTTTAATTGCTGATGTAGTGTAGTTAATTATATGCAATTATTTAATGTCAGGCTTCCGCTTTTTTTTATTAAATTTGTCTTCTAGCTGTGAGAAATTTATAGTAATTAATATAAATATATATCAATAATAGTATTGTATTGTAAAGTATTGTATAAAAAATAAAATATTCTACGGGGCACAAAAGTCCAAATTAACGTTTGGCAATTGAATATCATCTGAATCCTTATCGTAATTTAGTATTGAATATATTTGTTATAATAACAAGTATATGCTGAAAATTTTCACCTAATTTTACTTTTTTGCATCTATTTTTCTCTAATATATAGTAGAGTCATTTAATGAAAAGTTTTCCCATATGAGTTTTGATTATTTTGATAATGCTTCAGAATATGGGATAGAGAATGTCAAATTCAACTAATGCTGATTTTTTTACGTTTTGGCAGACTTTTCTCTAAACTGTATATATATATATACATATATATATATATATATATATATATATATATATATATATATATTATAATTGCGTGATAGAGTTCAACAAATGCTTTAATTTGAAGCAAACTGACCGACCTCACTGGAATTTATGATAATGCCGATACATAATATGTCATTTTTGCACTACTTTTTGTAAAACTCAAACAAATATATATAAAGGAAACAATAGTTAAATCTTGAATAAATTCTCACGCTCCAATTGCTGTTTGTGTTTAGCGGTACGTTAATTACTTGAATAATCAAATCTTTCATAATGTACCTGGTATGATATACAACATAAAATAATATAAATACGAATAAATTAGATATTTAATATATGAAGTTAATATTGCAATTTTTTCTAAACTATCTTTATCCCATCACCAGAATCATAAATTATTGAACCATGATTGGTTGAAAAAATCTCAAAACCTTTTTTTTATAAATCTGAAGATCTTAATTATTTATGTTTATATATATATATAATAGTATTGCATAGCTCAAAAGTACAGCATTTGGATTATATAGATATATTTTTTCCAGATGTTTCCCATGTTACTAGACCGCGTGGTGTGCATTTTGCTCTTCACTGCTTTATCTGCATTGGCCCTCGAGTTTTCAGGCCTAGGACCGCAGGCCCTAAAAGACAGCAAAATTTATGTGGTAAGAAAATTAAAATAATTATTAAGTACTATGATCAATCACAAGAAAATTAAGAAGAAAATGTAGGAGTTGTGGAAATACATCGTTGACAATTGATGATTTAAACTTATGTTTCCGAATATTTACTTCTCGATCCCTTGAGTTATTTTTCGCTTTGGGATAGAGCTATTTGCCTAATATTTCTTGATGTTTTATTTTTTTTAAATATTAATGCTTAGGATTAGAAAGTTAGCATAGATTTTTTAATGAAAAGGATGGATCAGATGTTTATTATTAAATTATAAACATATAGTAGACCAACTTTTTAATTTCATCGACTTTTTTCGCTGGCGTAGAACCCATGTCGTAATCATAGTTTGTCGTAGACCCCTGGAGTCGATATAGGTCATTTGAGGAATCACTGATTTATTATCTTGTCTATTAACCGAAAGTTGCGGAGAATAGATTTTTTTCAAAATATTACTAAGTAAAATTAAATAAAGAATGAAAATAGACATTATAATTGCAAAATCATTTGCCCATTGTCAGCGATTTTGGATTGAACAACTTAACTTAAAATGAACTTTCTTTTTGATCTGGTCCTAGGAGTGGGCAGTTTTTAAAAATATATATTCAAAAATTCAATCGTCGAAGAATAACTAAAGTAATGCATTGCATGATAAAATATGTATGTTTAATTGAACAAACAATCTTATAAGTTTTCATATACATACTAACAAAAATTTAAATTTGACTTTGAATAGCTGCAAATAATATTTTGAATTTGCGAGTCAAAAAATGTGATTGGCATATTTAAATATTTTGTGTTTGAAAATCATTTTATCACGTGTGTCGCATTTGGGATGTCGCATAACAAAAATCGTGTAAATATTTAGATACATTAAGTCTGGACATAAATTATTTGAGATCATTCAATAATTGATTTTATTTACAATGTTTTTATTTATGTTAGACAGACTGATTATTATATCAATTATAAACAACAAATAATTAATAAATTAAATATTTAAATATTTCTTTTCATGAAGAGTGAACTCTAATTTATTATTATTTTTTCTATTCTAACTTATTTTCTCTCTTTGACATTGAAATAGCTCATGAAATCTCATTGTGAGGAAAATATGCAATTTTTAATGATATATATATAAAATATAATATTTTATTCTCAGTTTATTCGTATTCCTAAATTATTTAGAAGTTGGAAATTCTCTGAATTTTCATGTAAAGGTATAATTGATTTCATATACTCAAATGTATTTATACGTTACACATGAGTAATAAAATTTTGTAATTCGATATAAAATATTTTCATATTATATAACTATTTTGCTCTGATTTTCTAATAGGTGAAAGCAGAAATGCATAAATTAAAATATTGCAGTTGCATTTAAATTTCTTTACTTACATAACGGAATTGCATGTGATAAATTATTGAAATAAATTTAAATTATTGAAATAAATAGACGAATGTAATCATAATATATATATATATATATATATATATATATATATATATATATATATACATACATGCATTTATGCATTTATATATTTGTCCATGCATCTTGCAAAATGTTAGATAAATTCAAGCAAAATGAATATGATTTAATGATATTAATAACAGGGAACTGTTTGATTTAACAGACATAATTCACTGTTATTATTTTCTCATTTAATGCAACTACATGCGTGTAAATATTTTATATACAGTAACGAAATATAATAGGATATATACAGTAACGTTTAACCAAGAATTAAAGAAAAAAATCTAATTTTTTATTATAATCCGAATTAAATTTTTCTAGATTTTTTGTTCGTTAATTCAACTTGATGCAGATTTACAAATTGTCCTTTTGTTTAATTATAATAGCGATTATGTACGTGAAAATTCAAACAGAAATTGTATTATACATTTTAACATTATTATTATCGTACATTATTATCAATTACAAAATTTAATAAACTACCGTAAAATCTGGATTAAATAATGCAGTTAAATCTCAGAACAAATTATACAAAATTCCATTTTTACAAGAACTCATTTTATAAGAACACCAGCGTCCACATAGCATTTTTGTTTTGTGTCTTTTATTTAATATTTTGTGATTGATATAGTTATTAAATTTTCTTTTGATCAATTGATTAAACATCTTTTCCAATTTGGAACAAAAATATCTTTAGTATAATTCATAGCTCATGTTTTACATGGTTCATTAAACCTAAGAAAATGCATCTAGTAAATGTAAAGTAACTTTTTAAATAAGCCAACAAAATATATAAAACAATGAGAATGTATTGTCTTTAATTAACAATATAATTATTCCAAGCACTCATTAAGATGGTAGTTGCAATGCGAAATGTGCTTCCTAGTTTATTTTGAACCCATTTCACTTGCAAATAAAATAAATTAAAATAATTTACTGTTTCTACCAGCAATATTTGAATAAATCGGATGACTCAAAATTAAAGAGGGCTATATTAAAGTCAAAGGTAATTGCAAAACAATGATTTTACATGCGATAAGTTTAAATGAGCTCTTGCGAGTGTTATTTATATCCTGCATCATTTTATAGTTAAATTCTTTAATTAGAATTAATAACAGATTAAATAATAATTATTCGGTAATTATTTTAACAAAACATCGAGTTCTAGTAATTAGCAATATGCTGATATTTAATTAGTTAAGGATCAGATCATAAAATTCAAAACAATACATTTTTTCAAAGTTAGTTAAAAGTTCAAAGAACGAGATTATATCGCCAGCGAAAAAGTGAAAAAAATACAAGCAGCCAATAAATGCATGCTAATTTTAATTACATGAAGTTTTTCAAACACAATTACATGATGAGTGAAGTTGCAAAAACAATATTTGTTTAGACGTTGTTTAACATAATCCATTGCATGAACGAATATTCTAGAATTTATTAATCAGCAATTACTTCATTTCTCTAATGAAGGTTTATTTCTAAATACTAATTACAGTGACAAACCGGTCATGTCATATTTGAAGTATGACTTCAATTACATTATTGTATTTAAATATTATACATATTTTTAATGCTATTATAAATATATAATTTATAATTTATGATTATATAAATGTGTATAAAGGTTGACACTAATAAATGTGTGCATCACGAGTTTAACCATATTACTAATAAACATTATTCAAAATTGTTATATGATGTATTTATTTTTACTTAACTTAAATTTGCTACTTTGTACAGTAGCAAATAAGATTTACATATACTATCAACATATCTTCTATACTATCTAATTATCTTGATAACTGACATTTTTTGTTTTTCATCTAACATGCACTGCTTCTTTTTCTAACTTCTAATTCTATTCTACCTCAAATCACAATTCAAATTCTACTTAATTTCAATCCTACATAAAAGACCATTCTGTCAGTGCCAGGATTCGAACCGAGTATCTCTGACGTGTGAGTCGGGCATATTAGTGATTAAGGGATTCGCGCCACCACATTTATAATACTCTGCCAATTTTGTTTACTATAGCACCATTTTTTATCTTTCTAGTAATAAATGATGATGAAAGCGTTATGCTAAACAGATTTCCAAAGCTAGTCAATGAACTCCATGCAATTGTTCAAGCCACTATCGTTTTTAAATTTAACTTTATGATGGTACTTCAGCTTCTAATGAATAATGCATTAAAAGGTTACTGCGAAGGTCAGTCTTGTCGTAAGACCTAGCCAATGTTACAACATAAAAAGTTGTAACATTTGCGAAGGTATCCTGTGTATACTTATGTAGGCAGAAAACATGTAATATGTCTATTAAGCATGTTACTTCAATGCAGTCTTGCAGATAGATTGACGTTAATTGACTTGGTTTGAAATTATTTAGATATTCTAATTATATGCTAAACAGATTTCCGTAAAAAATAAGAAATCGAGCAAGACAATTGGGTAACTTTAGGTAATAATAATACATACATACATACATGCCTGTAATAATCAAAACAACAAGGCGGACTTGTACGGTGAGAACGCATTATTTTCATTTACTTTGGATTGTATATAATCCTCGTGTCAATTTTTTTTCAATATTAGGTGCCTCTGTTTTATGATCTCTGATTTTTTTTAACATCTGCTTTATTATTCAACCCTGTCCTTTCATTTTATATTTGAACTTTTAGAAAGGATACTTATAAAAAAGATCCAATCCAGTTTATTTTATATCACAGTCGAAGAGAAATTAGCATTAATTTGTAATTTTGAACAAAATTGAAAATTAAAACTCTGAAATAAAAAAATGCGCGGCCTAGTGAGGTCGGGGTCACGAGTTCAAGCCGCCGCTCTGGCAACCTGAATCAGACAGCAGCGATAACCATTTTTACTTGAAAATATAGATAAAAATACAATAATTTCCTGTAGGGTAAGTTATTTTTTTAATTGAAAATAAGCCCATTTCGGGCACTGCGGTGCACACTATTTTTTCCTGAATCGAGCTGGGGTTTAACACAGCTCACGGATCTACCTTAGGGTAGTACCATACATTATCACACACTAAATATAAAATCTTCTCTTAGAAAAAGCTCTTCATAAATTTAGTTTCCATGTCGAAGTTCAAATTGCTCGTCAATACAGTTCTTTTTATTGGACTTAGTTTCGGAAATGGAGAGATATGTTTTCCAATTATTTTAAATGACAATTTTTTCCTAACGATATTTATCATCACATTTTCATTACTTTGTATCTGGTGTCATTTATGTTGTGTATTTTTGAACACAATCTTGTACATCTTTATGTGCAAGATGGAACAAATATTCATTTATTTTTGATCTGGAATCCCTTGAAAATTTTTCCTCGAGGATACAAAACTGTAATAACAAGGATGAATATTAAAATTCATTGTTGTCCATAATACTCTTTCATAATGAATAATATTATTTATCCAGTTCATATAAATATTCTGGTCTTTAAGTTTTTTAAACGTAGAAAAATGTGC